TTCTTTAACAGAACACATAAACTCAGTCAATTATGATATATGTATATACAAGTTAAGCCAATTAAGGTAACAAAATGTAACAAGAAATATGTATAGACATGTATTGTTAATTAATTTTCATTGCATGGGAATAGAATATGATCATCCAAACAATGGAACAAAGAAGCTTATCTAGGTTTGAAAAAGAAGCTATCTACAGAAAGAAAAAGAATCATTATTATAAATCTTCATTTCACAAAAATCATACGCAATTGTATTTTCTCGTCATCTATCTAACTTTAATAATGTCTGAAACTAAAAAAGTACGCGCAGGTACTCTAGAAATTGTTGAAGGTAGTGATGAATCTGATTTTGAACAAGGAAATAATAACAAAATAACAATATTATCAATCGTAAATGAAAAATTTGATTTATTATTAACAAAATTTGATAAAATAGAAACTTCAGTTAATACTCTCAAGAAAACTGATGTTGATACATTAATAATTAAACAAACAACAATTGATATAACAGTATGTGAATTACAGAAGGACAATGTTGATAAATCAGCCAGTATTATTAACACAGAAAACTGTTGTACAAAAATCTTGGAATTAATTGAAGAAAGAGCGTTATCCTTCGAAAATGCAATTCAACATGCATCTGAGCAAATCAACGAACAAGTTGTAAGTAAATAGAAGTTTTTCAAGAAAAAAGTCAATGTGAACATGCATATCAAAATGTGAAAGGTTTTCCGCAAACACTGTATCTGACCATCATGGCCCGAAGAGAACGCCGGAAAGTCGTGATAGTCGAAAAAATCCTTCAGAGTTGATTCCTGTTTTACAGCTGGCATAATAAAATATTTTTTTTTCCAATGCTCAGCAGCGATATTCACAGCACTGTATCTCAATAAATAAACTGTACTATTTTCTAAAAATAGTGTGGGATAGAGTACTACTTGTGTACCTCGGCCTGGCTTAAAATCTGAGGTTGGGTACATTATTTAATTAATTTAATATTAATCGTGAAGTTGACAGAATATTGGGTAATTCCACAGTGAGTAATATCCTTCGTAGATGAATATTTGGATGAAAACAAAATTTCTTCTTTTCTCACCTTGCCTTCTATATCTATCTATATATGCGTACAGAAGGAGCCAAACATCAAAAGAAAGAAAAAAATAAAATCAAACAAAACTGAAAAAACGGCATGATTTGAAATTAGTTTGTCTGGAAGAAAACCGTCAGATTCTAAAATACTGCCCTTTGTTAATCGGTCTGTTTACTTTTGTCATACAAATTGTTTTTAGGTTCGTACTGTTCCATGTGGTACAGATACCACGCAGAGCACAAGCATAGATAATCCTACATTTGCAACGGTATCAGCACCACCAACACCAACTGAAATCATAACGTCTGCAAATGAATTATTATACTCACATTATGATTTTGAACCATCTGAAAGTTTTACTTCCAAACGACCATATGATATGAATGTAGATAATGATGAAGCATTTATGTCAACTCCAGATAGTGCGGTATGTTAAATGTGTTTCTTTCTCAAGTACCTTTACTTTAGAAAACTTTTATACTTTTTAGAATCGTTTATTGAAAAGACAAAAAGCTGATAGTCAAATTTCAACCAATATGTGCACAAATTTATTTGCATCAGTTACAACGTCAAATGTAAGTATACACTATAAAGAGTCATGCACCTGGGATTTGTACGCTTTATATGAAACGTTCCTGTTTTAGGAACCACAAGTATTTCTTAATGATCCCACCACTCAAAGAACATTTCAGGTTGCAAAAGGAAAGCATGATAGACAACAACTAGCAACTAATCAAGAATTATTAAACAAAGAAACCGGCTTCCGTCATCTTTTAGCCTATCTTTTTTCAACATTATTTACAGAAGAAGAATTAAAAGTTTCATCCGTTGACGCCTCTGTCCGTGGTACAAAAGCATTTGATCCAATAAGAGTAGCTGCGATTGATAAACATTTATTTGATTTATATGGTGCAAGATATACAAAATATCGTACAAGTAATCAGTATAAAGAATTACTGAATAAAAAATGCAACCGAATAAGGACAAAATTTAATAAAAATATTAATAATTATTAGATTTCTGGTAATATTTAACAGTGTATATATAACGGGTGCTTCAGAATAAATCGGTCACTTAGTATTTTACTCATATCTCAGTTGAATTTTATGCTCTAAGCTTCATTGTTTTGGATTGTTCTAATGCATCAACTAGCATTTGATGGGAATAGGTTATAGGAGAACGTTCCAGACTGACATAGTTCTCTTCGTTTATTGTACTATACGAGCAAAAGGACAGGAATGCCATAGTGTAAAACCCATGGTTTCCATGAAAGTGCTCTCTTGCTGTTGTTCTGCAGCAATTCGGTAACTCGCACCATAGGAACAAATGGATAGGTGACTGGAGCAACCACCAACAGCAATCACCAGTGCAATATTCTCTCGTAACCTACCGCTATACCACTGATATTGCTAACACCGCTATACCAATGATATTTTTCGTCATTGAAAAGTGAGTCAACTCATATATATTTCGAATCTTTTCGCGAACTTTTTTTTCGTCGAAAAATGCTTCCCTCAGGTACAAGTGACTTATTTGACTGACTTCGTTGTTGACGTGGTCCTGATCGAAGCATTTTTCGACGAAAAAAAAGTTCGCAAAAAGATTCGAAACATATATGAGTTGACTCACTTTTCAATGCTGATTCCAAATATGTAAAAAATCAATAGAAATCTATGGCAGTTTTCAGAAACCCAGCGTGGCTTTCCAGAGATTTCCTGAAAAACCGGCCTTCGAATTTTTGCTCAGAAAAGATGTTCCTTATGAAAATATCCGTTTGGGTCTTGGGTATCAAACGGTGAAAATCGCAGATTTCCATCTTGTTCCTATCAAAAATTATTCAAAAAACAACCGATTACCTTGACTTCTGGAACGGATAATAGCTTCCTCAAAGTTTTGGCAGGATCCGGCTGACGGAACCATCCACCTGAGAATTGCTAGCAACATTTTTAAGTTATGCCTACAATAATGTTGGACAACAGCACAAATAATAAGTAAACGAATAAAATTCAGTGATTTTTTTGTATTTTGCCTATAAACAAGAAACGAAAAAGTAAATGTTTTTACGCGTAATAGCGCACATTTCAATGTATTGAAAAAATACTTTTTCTTTCAAAGTAAACAGATTTGAAAACATTTACTCTGATCAGATCACTTTTTTCATGCAAGAAACTTTTTTTACATGTAAACTGCAGCTTTTATGCGTGGAACGCTGACTTTTCTTGCGTATCTGACTGAATAATTTTTCACGATACATTAGAAAATGTTTTAGTATCGAAAAGGCAAGTAGCATAGTAAGTCTTGTGTAAAGTCTTTTAATTGGTAATTTTTCAGAAAAAAACATCACCCACATTTGGCTAGTTTGTTATACATCCGATCAAAAAGTTTTCTCCGGGTAACTCTTAGCTGCTTTGTGGTTGAGAGAACCGTATTGTTCATCGAAGAGCGACCGAAAACTGATGATCATTTCAATTATCCTATCCGTTACTCTGTCTGTAAAAACTCTGTTTACCATGAATTAAAGAAAATCAGTTTTAACTATACACCAAGAAAGTTCCTGAAAAAACCTTAAGAACTCTAAAAGTTAGGCACCACCTCTCTTTCGCTGTTTTGTCATCATTTGAAAATTTTTCGAACCTCTCCTGAATCACTAAAATTCTCCTGTAACAGACTAAACTTTTCGTTTAACAGACTAGAATTCTCGTGTAATAGACTAGAATTCGCGTGTAACAGGCTAAAATTCTCGTGTAATAGACCAGAATTCTGGTGTAATACACTAAAATTCTCCTGTAACAGACGAAACTACTCGTGTAAGAGACTGAAGTTCCCGTGTAACAGACTAAACTTCTCGTTTAATAGACCAAAATTGCCGTGTAATGGACTAAAGTTGGCGCAAATTCAGTATTGATTGTGCCTTTTTTCGTTCGGAAAGTAGATTAGAATTTTTTGTTTGCAGAATATTATAAAACGGAGCGCTGTTGTTATCTGCCGTAATCGCCATGATCTAAAATGCAACATTGTTGAAAATAAAACAAATATTGACACTTATTTTATGTAGGCTTTCACTGACAATACGTACAATAAGCTGTAGAGAAAAGTTTCAAAATCAAATTGTTTATTATCATTGTTACGCATCAATTTCCGATGTGTTCAGAAGAAAGTGATATCTTGAACGGGTTAGGTAAGACCCTTCGAAGGATCACAAAATAAGTAATATTTTGATATCAAACCGATTTTTCACTTTTTGGTCATGACTTTCTGTCGATTATTACTAATTTTACTTAAAAGTTTTTATTCTATTAGTTTAATAAAAGTAAAAATTAGTACCAGGCAATGTTTGACTTAAGCAGAAACTCACGCTTAATTTGGTAAATAGCACCCTCCAGTGAAAAACTATCTATTCAGACAGACTAAAACCATCTTCCAGCTCAACGCTAAGCCCGATCCCATTTAGCTGCATAAATGCATCTGTTTTGAGGACACATCCGAGAAAAACACATTGTGGCGTCTATTTAGAAGAGACATTATAGACACTGGAAGGACACAGTGAAAACGTATAGCTGATGCTTATTACGTGGAGAACACATAAAAGACATTTCGATGAAGTCGCTTGTCTTTGAAGTACAAGATTAGATAAAATGGGTTTGTTGAAAAATGACCGAATGACTATTAAGAAGCTAAGCGGAAAATTGATCATTATCCTAGTGTCTCTTACAGCGGTGTTCGTGCTTTATTTCTGTGGGAATATGCCACCTATAATGGCGTTACAGTATCTTGACCATCACTCAAATGGAAGAATAATTTGAACTTGCCAGGTGTTTTCATAATTCATTTGAAAAAAGTCGTGCATTCTCCATAAAACCTTGTTTATAAGATAACTTTTTTCATAGCAGATTTTGAAAGAGCATACTTGAATACCTAAACTCATATGTTTATTTTCTCATTCAACTTTAGAAATAAAAGAACTGAATGATGGTGTAGATTTGCATTGTTACAAGAATTTTTTTTCGAACGTGATTCATGCTCATGCGTCTCTAATTAAATCTAAAGAATTACTAAAATGTATTGGTTTTTGTTTTGCAGGTCGACACTCGATGGACCTAATCATTAAATTAATCTCTGATTACTGATATGTCATTCTTCTCAACGCCTTGAGAAAGGCACTTCAGAGTTTGATCTGAAAGATGTTAAGAAGTAAGTACATTTCTGTGTTTTATTTCGTTATAGTTTTTGATATACTGAGAAACCTTATCATAGTAGACATATGCTCGGAAGGCGAAACTCTAATATATCCAGCACTCATATGTTTCAGTTTTTCAGTCGTCAGAAGAATGGAAATATGAAGACAAATGACATCCATCCACCTGTTTTGTATTAAGAAGAACCCTAGCGAAGCGTTTTTTCTTAAGCACATGAGCAAGCACATATCTCATGCACTTCAGTTCCTCAAAGTATGTGCATGAGAGGAGAAATATCTAAAACAATGTACATATCTCAAGAAACTCATGTGCATACACCGTAAGAAAGTGACGCATTATCGATTTTCTGCTTTTTAAATAGCTTTAGCTTCGTTTTTTTAAACTTGATTACACATGTTTTACTCGGACTTTTCTTCGAGAACACGATGCATTTCTTTAGTCTTTCTCGACCATCTGACACTCCCGTCATGCCATAATCTTTATCTACTCCGCGTTGTGTTTCTCAGTTTTGGTTCGACATGTCACTAGAATTCGATCTCAGAATAAAAATGAGAAAGGTTAATGTTGTTTAATGACATTAACCGCTTAAAAGACATTAACCTTACCGATGAGTTTTACCGATAAGGTAACGTTTACTGCATGTGAAGATAACATGTACGCTTGGACTGAGAAGTATACCCGTAAATACTAGACGTTAATATCAGTTCATTGCTAGAGTCAATCTAGCATTCTGTGAATGAGGCGGTATAGCTTGGCATCCAGTCCTTCATGCATCAAATGGGACCAAACTGATACATGCTACATCCTGAAAGCCGCCAAGAGCAAAGCGTTCTTACACCGAGGAAACCCCCAATTGCGATGATAAACATCAACCATTTGGTGCACTTTTATGGATTTTTATCTGAAGATTTTGCACAGTCAATATCTTTACCTCAGCCTACACAACGAGGAAAGGACCTTAAATTCGGTACATTATCTGAGAAGAAAGACCTTCAAAACTTTAATGATAAAGTAGTTCAGTTTTGATGAAAAAACGAAGTTCGATTTAACTCTTTCTCTTCCTTCGTTTCAAATTGCTGTGTACTTCCCTTGAAGTTAAAGGGTGAGGTTATTTAAGTTTTTATCCGTTTTTATGGCAAATCAATAAGAAAACACAGGTTAAAGGATGCAAATAATGCGAGTAAAAATGGTTTTCAGCTTCACAGTATGTTAAAAAAAGAAGAAATGGCTGTGTGTGCTTCACTAGCGAAGACATAGGATAAAACTGAAATGCCAACATGTTAATTAATTGCCAGAGAGAAGAACGCTTTATACGAAAGATATGGGAGGAACATAATGACATAAACATAGTCACTCACTTTGGTTTCTTCTAGTGCTTGTTTTTGACGAGGCTTCGTCATGTAATCAAAACTTCAGCAAAATGTGTCTTGATAAAGAAGTATATAAATAACCGTAAAAAAATTCACTTAGCGTTAAAGGTGTGTCACGTAGTAAAAAAATCTCATTTCGGAAAGGTAGATAAGACAAGCTGTTAACCAGAAAACGTGATTATCAAACAATGAGAGGCAGCCTTGGCTTGCTTTGCACAGCCTAGCAAAAGAAGAACGCTAAAATTAAATAGAAAATACTATAGGTAGATAAGAAAGATCTTTTCATTTGAAAATACCTTTCTTTCATAGTCCGAAGATGTTAAACTATTTATGAAGTCAGAATGTATTCCAGCTTTTTTCTGAGCAAAAATTCGATCGAATCTTTCTGACTACTACCTTGCCGATTTTAAATCATGGATATTGGCGTAAGATGTTGACTAGTTGCAGTTT